TTACAAATTAAATCTGATATTAATGCGGCATAACCTCAAATATACAGAAGTATATAGATGTATTCATTGTCTGTCCTCATTTTACATATTCACGGAGATCTGTGAATTCAGTGTAGTTTTGTTTTGTTGTATATTCCACTCATTTACGTATTTATTGAACTCAACTCCAAATCTAGTTTTTATCTATGATTCTTTAGTGATAATTACTTTCAATTGTAGTAATTGTTTTTTTATTATCAAGAATTCCAATTAAAGGCACCAAGAACACTTATAAATGATTGACAATACACCAGCGATGTTCTTTGTTCTTCTTTCCTATTACAGAGAAGACGCCGACAACTAATATATATTGTGGCGATGATGCATGGGTGGAACCTGGCAATTCAATCAGCATTGTATCTCCAAATTATCCCGAACCTTATTTAGCTTTTACCAACTGTACAACGACAATATCTGCACCACCTGACACTTTGATTTCCGCATCGTTTGTAAATAATAGCATTGAGTGCTGTTGTGACAGAGTGTCTATAAATGATGAGATTGTACAGTGTGGAGACGTTGAAACGTTATTCAACAGTCATCAATTAGTTGTCAACTTTGGGAGTGATGGTTCTGTTCAGCTAACTGGATTCCAGTTACAGGTGAATGGGTATGAAGCTGGTACGTACATGATTATATAATATAATACTCTACAACATGGCGGCAATGTTAGTGAAATTCGGAAATATGTCTCATTTTCTTAGCTGATGCAATACCTCAGACAGCGTCGTTGTTAAAATGTGGTGATTGTGCTCTTGATACTGAACGTACAATATATATGGTCCTAATAAATATTCATTACCATATGTGGATTGTTTATCGTGGTGTGATGTAGAGTTAAATAGTCTCTCTTCTCAGTAACCACTACAGTTTCTTTATCAGCAACCATTACTGTTTCCTTCTTCTCCATAACCATTACAGTTTCTTTCATCTCGGCAACCATAACAGTTTCCTTCTTCTCAGTAACGGTTACACGTTATTTCTCAGTAACCATTACAGTTTCCTTCTTCTCAGTAACCATTAACAGTTTCCTTCTTCTCAGTAACGATTACAGTTTCCCTCTTGTCTGTGACCATTACAGTTTCCCTCTTGTCAGTAACCATTACACGTTCATTCTTCTCTATAACCATCACAGTTTCCCGCTTCTCAGTAACCATTACACGTTCATTCTTCTCAGTAACCATTACACGTTCATTTTTCTCAGTAACCACTACAGTCTCCCTCTTCTCATTAACCATTACATTTTCTTTCTTCTCGGTAACCACTACAGTTTCCCTCTTCTCATTAACCATTATAGTTTCCCTCTTCTCAGTAACCATTACAATTTCCCTCTTCACAGTAACCATTACAGTTTCCCTCTTCTCAGTAACCATTACAATTTCCTTCTTCACAGTAACCATTACAGTTTCCTTCTTCTCAGTAACCATTACAGTTTCCTTCTTCTCCGTAACCATTACAGTTTCTTTCTTCTCAATAACCATTACAGTTTCCTTCTTCTCCGTAACCATTACAGTTTCCTTCTTCTCCGTAACCATTACAGTTTCTTTCTTTTCAGTAACCATTACAGTTTCCTTCTTCAAAATAACCATTACAATTTCCTTCTTCTCAGTAACCATTACAGTTTCCCTCTTCTCAGTAACCATTATCGTTTTCTTCTTCTCATTAACTATTACATTTTCCTTCTTCTCAGTAACCATTACAGTTTCCCTCTTCTCAGTAACCATTACAGTTTCCTTCTTCTCAGTAACCATTACAGTTTCCCTCTTCTCAGTAATCATTACAGTTTCCCTCTTCTCAGTAACCATTACAGTTTCCTTCTTCTCATTAACCATTCCAGTTTCCTTCTTCTCATTAACCATTACAGTTTCCTTCTTCTCATTAACCATTACAGTTTCCTTCTTCTCAGTAAGCATTAGTATTCTTCTACTCAGTAACTGTTGCAGTTTTCTTCTTCTCCGTAACCTTTACATTTTCCTTCTTGTTAGTAACCATTACAGTTTCCCTCTTCTCAGTAACCATTAGTATTCTTCTTCTCAGTAACCATTACAGTTTTCTTCTTCTCAGTAACCATTACACGTTCCTTCTTCTCAGTAACTATTACAGGTACCTTCTTCTCGGTAACCATTAGAGTTTCCTGCTACAAGTAACCATTACATGTTCTTTCTTCTTAGTAACCTCTGCAGTTTCCCCTCTTCTCAGTAACCATTACAGTTTCCTTCTTCAAAGTAACCATTACAATTTCCTTCTTCTCAGTAACCATTACAGTTTCCTTCTTCTCCGTAACCATTACAGTTTCTTTCTTCTCCATAACCATTACATTTTCCCTCTTCTCAGTAACTATTACAGTTTCCTTCTTCTCAGTAACTATTACATTTTCCTTCTTCTCAGTAACCATTACAGTTTCCTTCTTCTCAGTAACTATTACAGTTTCCTTCTTCTCAGTAACTATTACAGTTTCCTCCTTCTCAGTAACTATTAGAGTTTCCTTCTTCTCAGTAACCATTAGTTTCCCTCTTCTCATTAACCATTACAGTTTCCTTCTTCTCAGTAACTATTACATTTTCCTTCTTCTCAGTAACTATATGTTAGAGTTTCCTTCTTCTCAGCAACCATTACAGTTTTTCTTTTCATTAACCCAATATAGATGTTCTTGTGTATATATCCATTATTCAACGCGATGTTCTCATTGCCGTGTTATCTCTATCCATCAATATTCAATGTTTGTATTTATAATTTTTGTATTCGGCAATACGAGATGTGTAATTTGGAATTTACTTTTAAAGTGAATTTCAGTTTCAGTCCATCTTGACACCATTTCAATTGTAAATATGTGCTATTGTTGCAGCATTGAATTTGTCTACTGATATAGCATGTGGTGAAAGTCGTTCCTTGGCAACTGGAGAGAGTGCTACCATTGTATCTCCCAATTATCCTGGAGACTACCCTGCAGACACCGACTGTAATTCAATCATTACAACAGAAGAGGGCGCTAGTATATATTTTCAAGTTTTGAGACTTAACATGGAAACATGTTGTGACCACTTATATGTGAATGGTGATGTAGTCCTTGAACCCACTATTGGGGAGATGATGTTGAATAGACATAGTTTGACTATTGATTTTACAAGTGACTCAAGTTTTCAATACAGTGGATTTAAGATGAGCGTACGGGCTGGTGAGTACAATGTACTTTTCAGTTCCAGAAATTAATGATATGTTACATTTTCCAGCTTGTCTCACTCTTGGCTCGCTATGTCGATCAATCTCTTTCTTCCTTCCCGCTCTCCCATCTTTGTTTTTTTGGTAATCGAATACAATTTCCCCTTCACAATTACCATTACAGTTTTCGTCTTATCGGTGACCAATTATAATTTCCCTCTTTTAGGTAAACCATTAGTGTTTCCATATTCTCGACAGCCATTGATTTATTTTACAGTTTTATATTTTTGATGTAACCTGCTACAGTGTTTTCTTTGCTTTCTTGTGCAACCCATTACCGTGGAAACCGATTATTATTATTCTCTATATTCTAGGTCCAACCAAAGTGACGTCATTGCAGACAGCACTTGAACAATTCGGATTGACAAGTAAGTCATAAAAAAAGAGTTGTAATCTATGCTCCAAACAGTATTGGGCCAGAATTTGTGAAAACAATTAAGTGAAAACTTATTGCCTTTGTTCTCATTTTGTACTCCTCATCAGCGTAGGATGTAGCGTGGTTTTGATATGCGCGCATATTTTAGCGCATATAACAGTCATAATATTTAATGTCTAATAATGTCTATAATAACTTGTTATTAGTAGAAAACAGTATGTGGACGTTTTTGTTCTCTGTCATTCTGTTTTTTAAGAAAAGCTGTCAAATAATATGTTCAAAATCAGCGGTTTCCTTGAATGAAACTTCATTTAGTCAGCCACTTATTAAACATATGTCATTTTTCAATACGTTTTGACATAAATAAGTGATCCAAGTGACATAATTTATCCGCTGTATATTCTTTCCCTTATAATGCCATCAAATGCCGTCAGTTTTTTACTGTACTAAGTACTAAGTTTTTATGACATTTACTTCAGCGTAAATCAACACATACATAAACATAAAGAAAAACGCATTATTTTCACTTTGCAATAGGTTCTACTGTAATGGTACAGGCATACAAACCATATGTAAACTGCGAAACTGTCTAATAAACTAAACTGTATGTAAACTGGGAGCTTGTCGAATCTGTCCCCTGTGTAAACTGGAAGCTTGTCGAATCCGGCCCCGTGTAAAGTGGGTGCCTGTCAAATCCGGCCCCAATGTAAATTGGGAGCCTATGGAATCCGGCCCTGTGTAAACTGGGAGCCTGTCGAATCCGGCCCTGTTTAAAATTGGGTTTAATATTCCTAATGAAAATAAGTAAAAGGAATTGTTGACAATAATGTTTGATATATATTTATTTATATATTTATTAACTGTTTCAAAGTAATTAACAAAATGAAGTTTTAAATTGACAAAAGGTACCATGATGACTATACCAAGAAGCTTTAGCAACTGATGACGCTACAATGGCATTTACGGTTGATAACAAATTATGATAACATGATAACAATTATGATTATGACATTAGAAAGTATGTGTAAGTGCATTTTCACATATGCATATGTATTTTGCAAGTATATAAAATGTATGGCTCACTGTATGTGTTTTTAATCTTGATTTTATTAATACAGTATGTCGTCATAGCAACATTATTGGTTTAAAGTGTATTGAAGACTGTATTACCGCTGACAAAATATGTGATGGTCATCAAGATTGTAGCTGGACGGAACATTTTTATTTTGATGATGAAGGATTTGATTTTTGTGACGAAACATCCAGTAAGTGTATACTTATATTGTCAGCATGACCAAGAATGTTTAAACAGTTGGGTTTCCTGTGTGTTGTTGGGTTTGGTGACATCATCCTTGCTGTGTATCGTTTGATTTGATGATATCGTCCTTTGCTGTGTATCAGCTATTCTTGTCTTTCACACCAGGGCATTATGCACGTAAGTGGTGAATTGCATGCCATGTTTACACTAGTCAAATGCATGTCATGTTGTTTACACTAGTGAAATGCATGCCATGTTGTTTACACTCGTGAAATGCATGCCATGTTGTTTACACTAGTGAAATGCATGACATGTTGTTTACACTAGTGAAATGCATGCTAGGTTGTTTACACTAGTGAAATGCATGCCATGATGTTTACATTGGTGAAATGCATACCCTGTTGTTTACACTAGTGAAATGCATGCCGTGTTGTTTACACTAGTGAAATGCATGCCATGTTGTTTACAATAGTGAAATGCATGCCATGATGTTTACATTGGTGAAATGCATACCCTGTTGTTTACACTAGTGAAATGCATGCCGTGTTGTTTACACTAGTGAAATGCATGCCATGTTGTTTACACTCGTGAAATGCATGCCATGTTGTTTACACTAGTGAAATGCATGCCATGTTGTTTACAATAGTCAAATGCATGCCATGTTGTTTACACTAGTGAAATGCATACCGTGTTGTTTACACTAGTGAAATGCATGTCATGATGTTTACACTAGTGAAATGCAAGCCGTGTTGTTTACACTAGTGAAATGCATGCTATGTTGTTTACACTAGTGAAATGCATGCCATGTTGTTTACACTAGTGAAATGCATGCCATGTTGTTTACACTAGTGAAATGCATGCCATGTTGTTTACACTAGTGAAATGCATGCCATGTTGTTTACACTAGTGAAATGCATGACATGTTGTTTACAATAGTGAAATGCATGCCATGTTGTTTACAATTGTGAAATGCATGCTATGTTGTTTGCAATAGTGAAATGCATGCCATGTTGTTTACAATAGTGAAATGCATGCCACGTTATTTACAATAGTGAATTGCATGCCATGTTGTTTACACTAGTGAAATGCATGCCATGTTGTTTACAATAGTGAAATGCATGCCATGTTGTTTACACTAGTGAACTGGTTGCCATGTTGTTTACACTAGTGAAATGCATGAGATGGTGTTTACACTAGTGAAATGCATGACATGTTGTTTAGAATAGTGAAATGCACGCCATGTTGTTTACAATAGTGAAATGCATGCTATGTTGTTTGCAATACTGAAATGCATGGCATGTTGTTTACACTAGTGAAATGCATGGCATGTTGTTTACACTCGTGAAATGCATGCCGTTTTTTGTTTACACTAGTGAAATGCATGCCATGTTGTTTGCACTAGTGAAATGCATGCCATGTTGTTTACACTAGTGAAATGCATACCCTGTTGTTCACACTAGTGAAATGCATGCCGTGTTGTTTACACTAGTGAAATGCATGCCATGTTGTTTACAATAGTGAAATGCATGACATGTTGTTTACAATATCCTGATGTTCACACCATTATTTCTCATTTCTTATAGCTAATATTCATAAGAAACGATCGATCGTGGTGGCTGATGGAAAAGGCGAAGGCGAAGATATTCTTTGGAATGTCGTATCTTATCTCAGAAATCAGTAGTGTGGAATCGTCACAGAGAACAAGTTTGACTAAAGCAACTATACATTTCAATTTAATCCATTTAATTCAAGTAATTTCAAGTTCTTTTATTTAAATGTTTGCTAAATACTAATATCATTGTCTCTACACAAATTCATAAGACTATTCAAAATAGTATCACACCTTATCGTTATGGTTTAGACTATGATATGTATACATCAGTGAATTATCTGCACTATATCTTCAAGTGTTTTTTCTGTCCTGATTGAAAATTACTGCCAATATAAGGTAACAATACTAATCAAATGTTTTCAAATTACTAGTAATCTAGTTTTCTGCAACATCTGAATAAAACTATCGCATAGATATATAACAATCCTATATTCTGTACTATATCATCGTTGCCATAACAACACCATATAACAAGCAATAACTGAGGTGCTATTAGTGTGGGGTAAATGGCATATTTGAAACTTATTCATCACAACAAGAAAAAACTACAAATCAATTCTAAAATGTTAAAAGTAAACTTGATCAGAGGAACTTGTTATTGTTGATATACTCGTATATTCTTTTATACAGGCAAATCCGAAATTGCGGCCAGAATTCGGTCTGAGTACAGAATACTTGTCAAGAACGCAATGTTGTCAACTAGAGCGCCCCCAACGATCCTTCCTATATGATACCTTACAGTTTGATACTTACTATATAATTATTATTACCTGCACTAATGTGAAGTAGCTTTCAGTGAGGTATGTAACTACGGTGAAACTAGTGAACGCTACCCCAAGCAAAACCTATATTTTAGTCAATTTAATAAGCAAACTGTCCCTGTCATATATATATAGTAGTTAGCTTAAACTTGTTTTTGCAAACAAGTTCTGTTTTCGATATTTTATGCTGGACACTGTTCACAAATGGATGAATTATAAATATGCAAGACATATAAAAGCCATCCAGTACATTTTTATCATGTCATTAAAATATGTGCTAAAAAGCCCCTGTACAAGAGAAAAAGAAGTGGTGACAGGTGAAGACTGGTATGTGCAAACATGGAGATTATACCTCCAAACATGGAGGTTATACCTCAACGATACGTAATAGTCCATGGGCCAGGGAGGGAAATGCTGCCCCCTCTGGGGATTTTTCCAAACCTTGTTATATGAAAAACTGAAATCAACTTGTTTGCCAATTTTAAACTGTATCCCTCAGTTATTATAGAGCAATCCCGGTACCCTATTAATTGACATTACCGGTACAAATCAATGTTCTCATTTAAAAGCATTTAGTGGATTGATTAGCAATATTTCACTTACTAATTGCATTGAAATACATAAAAAACGTAAATAAACCAATATTGAATGTGTTTAGACTATTATGGATCTTGTGAGATTTAACAGTTATAGTTACACTGTGAAAAAAATGATCTTAGCAAATTGTGCATGACACATGCCATATTTGTTACTTAAATAACTGTACTGGTACTTATAGTTTCTAAAAGAAATACATGTCATGTATGCCTCTTACATATTGATATGTGGAAACAAGCATATATTGTCAATATTAATACGAATTCAGTTACTGCCAACATAAGAACATTGTAGTTCATTTGCAAGAAACTAAAATGCTGAAAATATTTTCACCATAATTCTTTTTGTTTCCTTTTCCTATTCATCATCATGACCATCGCTGCCATCATCAGAGTAAAATATGTCATCTGCTAGACTTGTGGCAACTATCCCAACATTTTCATCACAACTGTCATCTTCATCTTCATCATCACTGTCATCCTCACCATCTGTATCTCTAACATCTTCTTGGTTTGAAAGAATTTCTCATTTCATCATCACACCAATTGTAGTCCAGCTTCACAGCATCATTCATTTTCCAACCATTTGTTTCTGGGCCAGGTATGTTTGTATATGGTATATGGACATTTTTCTATATCAGAATTTGATAAATTGTGCTCAATACATGCATTTGAAGAGCTGGTCTACATGGAGGAAGTAAAGATAAGTCAATACCGTCATAGTTTGAAAGTAAGCGACCACTATCCATCTCGAATTTGTTCTTTGCCATGTCATAACTTAGTTTGTTAATGTCTGAATATGGTGGTTTTCCATACAGAGAACATGCAAATTGCTCTAATTCACTTTGCATTGTTGCTGTTACATGGGCCGAATTTCCCTGAAGCTCCTTGAATACTGAAAAGAATTTCTCAGTGTTGTTCTGAATCATATTATAAGGTTTCAATTTACCATTTCTGATAAAACCACTTGTGGTATCGCAGCCTGAAAAGGCATGCAATCCAAAAAGTACACTGCAAAGCTGTACACCATGTTTCTTTATGAGAGAGTCTATGCTGACCACTCTGCACTTGTTGCCCACTCCAATGTCAAAGTATATATTCTGTTGAATAGTACTACCATAATGCAATAGAAGAAGAAACACATCTGTATCTGGTGATCTCACTATGATGTCATGTACTGAAGGGGATTCAGAAGCATGTAAAGAGTGCAATATCAGTCGAGTATCTGCCTCCTCTTGTGAAGATGACAATTCTGGAACTAAGTGACTCTCTGTTGAGATTCCATTACTGCTAGTTATTGATAAACAGTCTTCTTCACAGACAAACATTATTTCACAGTCAATCAGTTTAGGGCCATACTCATCTTTCGCATCATAGATAAGGACCCGAATAAGGTATGTCTTGTTTTCATTATTTGAAAGGAATGATTTCCAATCCCTGGGTAGTTTTGTTGAAGGCCCTTTAACCAGGTATGTTTGTGAAGAAACCCTCCTCAATCGTTTGGCAGCCTTTATAGAATTCTCTTCCACTCGTTTAACATTTGGCAAAGAAAAAAACCTTCAATGCCAATTCTCCAAAATGTACCAGGCAGACTAGTAAGTGACTGTATAAGGGCATTGCCATCAACAATATAGACCTTGTCTCTCATATCTGTACCCAGTACATACATATCCTGAATAGCTGATCGATCTTCTATCTTGTTAAGAAGAGTGGCCTTGTTCGTTTTGAGAGGCATTCCATCAGCAGTGGCTCATGACAATGGTAATGGCCCAAGTGGATAGGACAGAGTTTTATCCAGACTCAAGTTATGCTTCTCAGAAAGCATCATCAGTTGTCCAAATAGAGTTATTTGTGCTGTTCACTGAACTATCTGCTTTTGCGAGGACTTTACCTTGGTGGATTGTAGATTTGTCTACAAGTCTTGTCTTAACAAATTCTTCGAAATCTTGTCTTCCAGTGGCTTCTGCAGTGAGGAGATCCTTTGCCATGGAATTGGGAACCTTGACTCCCGAAGCATCTTTGTCTTCTACATCAAACACTCACTCTGTGAGCTGACTCCCGGGATTCACTCATGTGTGCTAGTTCCATTGCTACTGTAACATAGCTTGATCGCATATGTCTTGTTACACACCATCTATAGTAGGCTGGATAATCTCTGCTAAAGCCAATAATGCCACCACTTGACTTGGCATGCTTATTTATTGTTTGCGGGTACACAAGATTTGGACATACTAAACCCTTATTTTCTCAACAAAGTATCAGCTCCAGAATGAGAATCAGGTAAATTGATCAATGTCATGAGATATACAATAAGATATCGAGCATAGTTGTGGTGATCCACGTTAAAATGTAGTGGACAAAGCTCCCAAACCCTGAAGGCATATTAAATGTAAATTGTAATCATTTAGTTTGGTGGAACGAAGACATCTTAGTATCAGTCATATCCTATCTATGTATTGTACTCAAAACTGAGCCGTCTTTCCCAGTTTACTCACCTTATCTTTGAATTCACTGAATCTGACCGACAGTATTTTACAGGGTTTCTTTTTTACTGTTTCAACCAATGCTGCATTGCTGGGATTCTCTACCAAATTTCTCACCTTCATGAACATTCCATTTACTTCAAATACTTGAAAGATAAGCCTTTCTAACGCTTCTAATACAATCTTGTGAACTCTCATTGCTCTGTTGTAATGCTTCCCTGACAATACTTTCTGTATGGACCCACTGGTACAAACTCCTGATTCAATCACTATGTCTTCAAAGTCTGTACCTCTCATGAGCTTACCAATCGCATACAAATAGGAACATATCGTATGAAATACAATAACATCATGGTAATGTACAGGATGCTGCCTAATAATTGTGTATGCTTTCTTGGCAACACCAAGATCAAAGTTACAATCACGTAATCTTGATTACCTTCTCTTGCTGCTCTTTGTGGCAGTTTTAATACTTCCTGTACTGTGGCATTCTCATTGATTGATGAATTTATTGGTTTCATGTAGTCAACAATGGACTGTCTATGCTCCACCTTAGATGACTCAGCAGTTGTAGAGAGCCACCCAATCCAACTAGAAATTGACTGTGTATCATCTGTGACTTTTGCTCGATAGAGCATCCAAATGAAATCAAGTATTGCTACTTGATCAGCAACATTCCGTACATCTAAGCTTGAATGAGCCACTAATAGATTTGGTTCAACCTTTGCTTTCACAAAACATGGTGCCAAATCTTCAGGAGTATATTCAACAGATTGTTTTTTTTCGATTTTGGCTGAGTCACCTCTGATGGTACACTACACCTTTCTTCTACAACCTTCTGTATAACAATGCTGTGAGTGGAATGAGTAGTTCCTGTTGCAGAAGGTGTTTCCTTGTTAAGGTCGAAATTATCCCAACATAAATGAAGAACTATATTTTGCTCAACATCTATTGTAGCTGGAATGAGGCTGGTGCTTTCAACAACACTATCACACATAACAGTCTCAAGTTTCAGCATGGTAGTGTATGAAACACAATGACCAAAGTGATTCAATAAACTTATTATCTCGGCACTCCCTGTAAGATGGCGAACTGTCATCCCTAAAAGCAGATGCTTGGGTATTTTCCACTGTCCACAGCTAACAACATAGCATATGTTCTGACCAATTGACTTTGCAAGTCCTTCCATTCTTTTGGGCATTTTGCCTGAGCGTATCTTGCCCAGTAAA